AACATACATCAACAAATGTCTCTTTTGCAGCGCGGTGGTGTAAGTACCAAAATATTGCTCTTAAATAGTGTGTTCCTCCTCAAAGACTAAATCACATTTCAAAGCTAAAGCATCTGTGGTCCTGCAGCTGCTGTTAAACTATAACTGCATACTCCCTGACCACTGGACATGCTATATGGACTGATGAGAATTAGAAAGCAACAGCATCAGGAGGGCCACAAGTTGCTGACCCCAGCTAAGGCTCAGCAAGAATGTTAAATTGATCTAAAACCTATTCAGTGTTCAATACTTGGATGAAATAAACATGCAAAGAAAGGTGTGCACAAGCTCCACCCCCGCAGTCATCACTTCACTCAAATGAAAAACTGGTTGGAAGAGAAGCGTCTTGTATATGAATGGAGGGTCCCCAAGTGAGCAAGATCCCTGGACAATTCTGGGTTCTGCATGGCACAGCAACTGTGTTTGAGGTGGCAGGAGACTCTTTGTTACTGCTTGGTTCCCTGCTGGCTATGGTCCCCCCACCATCATGCAGGAACACTTTTGGAGGGTCTAGAATGGTGATTCCCAACCTTGGGTCTCTAGATGTTTTTGGACTAAAACTCCTGGAAGACTTCACCACCAGCTGTGCTGGCCAGGATTTCTGGGAGTTGCAATCCAAGAACATCTGGGGATCCAAGGTTGGGGATCGGTAGTCGAACACAGAGGAGGAGGAGGATTCTGGCAGCAAACGTGTTGGGTTTTGAAAGATGACCGGGTAATTCAGTCAGCAGCAATTCAGAACATCCTGCAAGGAAGCATGTGCAGCAGGCAGTGAGGGTGATGGAGAGCCTTCTCCTCCCGCCTCAGATGGCAGGACAGCATCACTGGGCCTCAGAAGAGACTAAAGTAACTATATAGCTTCACATTTTGGAAATAAATGTTCATTTCTAGAATCTGCCTCAGTCCACATGTATATCCAGGGCAGGGGTTAAATGGTGCACCCTACAAATACTCCATCATCAGCTCTGGTTTAAATGTTATACAGTACTGTACTATCAACATGTGAGTCTGTGGAGACGTAGCCATTCATATATCATCAGTCTCCCATCTCCAGGGATGAAGTGTCACAGTTAAAGAGCATGAGTGAAAGACAAACATTAAGTATTAATACTAGTATTTTTGGTTTCTTGCTTTCTTCTCAGGGCAAGTCAAGGGAAGGTTCATTTTAAGCATTATGGGAAATGCTGAGCCATTGCCGTTAACCATCTATGAGGAAACAAGTTTTGTTGAACTGCAGTAACTCTTCTTTGTTCATCTCTTCTCCCCATGAGCCATTCTATCCCACTTGACTCCATATTCTCTTCAAGCTGTTCCTGATCTTAAATGAAACTGGTCTGTTGGTTTAAAATAAAATTTTTAAAAAATCAAATTGACCAATCTGCTGGTTTTCAATAAAAAGCTCTCAATAGGATTCAGAAAGGGGTTTCTACTGCTGTTCCTATGGAAACATGTATGGTGGTACATCAAATCTGTGCCTAAACAAGGGAATGGAATACTTTACAGCATTGTGGTCACATTACTTAGAAGGTGCCCTGCACCTTCAGATCTTCAGCGATGAGTCTTCTGCAGTTGCTTCCTGCAGTTGAAGTGAGATGAATAATTAGGAGACAAAGTTCTCAGTAGTAATACAGTTGTGTGACACTTTCTTCCGAAAGCTTTAGTTGTCATCTACTTCACGTTAGCAGGCAGAGGGCCTTTCTATATTTTTTCAGGATTTTCAGGCACAATGTTACTAATGTTGCTTTATAATCCTTTGGAATTTGTTAGTTTTTAAAATTCTTTATTTTGCTTGCAACATTTTAGTTTAGTACAATTTCATCTTACCATTTTAATCATTTTTGTAAGTCATTCTGGGAACATGACTGAAGAGAAGAATAAAAGTTGCGTGTTGTGCACTGTCCAATTGGAAACAGCTTCTACTGACTGCACTATGGCTTCCAAGGCAATTGAGATATTTATGGAGTAGTTTTACTTGTTACACACACACACACACACACAGAGAGAGAGAGAGAGAGAGAGAGAGAGAGAGAGTAGAGTGGGGATTTTAACTCAGGTCTCCTGAGTTCTCTTCTACCTACACCACCACACTAGGTTTCTATAATAAAGGTCCCTGCAATAATTGGATACTAATATTTAATCTCTCTGAAGGAATTAAGACAATCATATTTGGTATCTGTTGCTTTGATACTGACTTCCACTGTCAGTGTTCCTAAAGAGATCCAAGAATTTCAGTGTTCCATTAAGCCCTATGTGGCTGTTATTCAAAAGGCAGCAGCTATTTTAAGTGTACTTCAACTTTTCTATGAATTATTGCTGCATGAGAGTCTTGTGCTGGCAAGGCAAATCAACATTCTATAAAACAGTTCTTAAAATGAGGGCAGGCCAAACAAAAATGTACAATTTTAGAACGGGGTTTCAGATCAGCACCAAATTTGGCACAATTGTACAAGACAGTCTGCACTTGCTCTGTGCCAAATTTGGGGATGATTTTCTAAAAGTATTTTGCTATAATTTATCATTTAATATTTTTATTTAAAAAGCAAATGTGTCTTATCCCCTATTCAGAAACAGGAAAACCCAAGACTGCAAAGGCCAATCTTGCTTATCATGAAAGAGAATGGTTGGCCCCACCTGGTTTTTGTTGTTGTTTTGTTTTGTAAGAATAGACTGTATTCTTACAAAATACTAGTCCTGAAGGTCTTTCAAAAGGGAAAACAGTGATTTCTTATCATACTGAGCATGTATAGAACAGGCTCACCAACAAGAACAGTACTTTTGCAGGTTCAAGGGCAGGGCAGGGAGATATTTGGAGAGCTATAGGGCAATTATTAAAGCAACATATCAAGTGCTGTAGGAAGTCCTCATGTTCAGTCTCTGACATTTGCAGTTAATCTATTTTAGACAGAAAAGATGGGAAAAGTCTCTGCCCAAAGTGTTGAGTAACCACTGTCAGTTGAAAGAAATTGATCATAGTAGGCTAGATGGTCTCAGTAAAAAGGCAGCTTGATAATGTTCACAGACAACTAGAGTAGGATATCTATTGAGAGCTCAGGCACATAGGACATCTAGTGATGTGCATGTTCACATTCCTATTATAATTTATCCAAAAACTGATTCAGTCTTACCTAAAGGCAAAGGGCTCCTACATGCAATTAACTCAATGAAAGACATCTGACTCAAGAAGCTATTTTGTAATCACCCTTTATAACATCTGAAACCTTTCACCTTCCAATTAAATTTATACATAAAAGTGCCAGCCATCTCAATGCACTGAGGACTGTTGTATTAGGCTCAATGGGCTTAATGAAGTAGATGTGACTACCACGAGTCACTGATGAGTCAAGCTGAAAGTGTACTGATATTGTGAAGAAAAAAAGTTCCCTGGCCGTTTCCAGAGAATTCTACATTCCACCTGGAGAATACCTATTCACTTAAGAATACAGAAGGCTCGTCGTCGTTTAGTCGTGTCCGACTCTTCGTGACCCCATGGACCAGAGCACGCCAGGCCCTCCTGTCTTCCACTGCCTCCCGTAGTTGTGTCAAGTTCATGTTGGTTGCTTCGCAGACACTGTCCAGCCATCTCTTCCTCTGTTGTCTCCTTCTCCTCTAGCCTTCACACTTTCCCAACATCAAAGTCTTTTCCAAGGAATCTTCTCTTCTCATGAGATGGCCAAAGTACTGGAGCCTCAGCTTCATGATCTGTCCTTCCAATGAGGACTCAGGGTTGATTTCCTTTAGAATTGATAGGTTTGTTCTCCTTGCAATTCTATTAGGTTGTTTTTCCTAATGTTTCGCCAGTCTGTGTGGCCGGCATCTTCAGAGGACAGCACTCTGTGCTCTGGAAAGGTTTGTTCTCCTTGCAGTCCAAGAGATTTTCAAGTCTCTTGTTCTCCTTGCAGTCCATGAGACTCTCAATATCTCCTCCAGCACCACAGTTCAAAGGCATCAATTCTTCGGTGGTCAGCTTTCTTTATGGTCCAGCTCTCACTTCCATACATCACGACAGGAAAAACCATAGCTTTGACCATTCGGACTTTTGTTGGCAAGGTGATGTCTCTGCTTTTTAAGATGCTGTCAAGGTTTGTCATCGCTTTCCTCCCAAGAAGAAGGCGTCTTTTAATTTCGTGGCTGTTGTCTCCATCTGCAGTGATCATGGAGCCCAAGAAAGTAAAATCTGTCACTGCCTCCATATCTTCCCCTTTAGAAGGGGAAGGCTACCTTGGTCTATATTCCCATTTCCACATAGCTGACTTTAGAAAATCACCTTGCAGCAGTTCTTATATCTATAGGTTCACAGCATGAATGGCTCCCTTTCCTTTTTAATTACCATATCATATGTTTATGATACGTGTGTTATTTGCCATCAAGTCACATCCAACTTACAACAATGTTAATAGGGGTTTCACCTTGTGAGTTTCCATGGCTGGGCAGAGATTTGAACCCAGGTCTCCTGAGTCCTAGTCCATCACTGTATTCACCACATGACACTGGGAACCAATGTTTATGATAATCTACCATTTTTATCACATTTCCTGTTGCTGTACAACAAAGGTGAATAACTTCCAGGGGCAGCAATGGATGAGCTATCAGATTTACCACAGAGACAAAATTGCCACTTTTTAACATGCAAAGGAGGTGCTCACAAGCTTAAGTGTGGGACCTGTATAATTTATGTATTATAAGTCAACAATTAGGATGAAAAAGTGAAAACAAAAGTGAAAAAGAGAAAACAAGTCTTGTGGTACTTTGAAAGCTCATACTTACTGTCACACAAGCTCTGGTGGATTTTTTTTCTGGACTACAATTCAGAAAAGCTCACACTAAAATCTGTCAGTCCTAAAGGTGCTACAAAACTTTTATTTTCTCTTTTGTTGAGCTGAAACAGAGTAACATGGCCCCATTTTTGAAGATTAAGAGAAATCTGAGAGCATGACAATGAAACTGGAGAACAAGAGACTATAGTTTTTAAGAAACAGCATTTTTTTTATTATTCTTGGCGCAGCCTCTATAGTTCCTTAAGAACAATACAAACTACCTGGATTTGAAAGGCTGCCTTTCAAATGCAAGAATGGGATGATGAGGGACTGCCAGCAATGCAAGACAGTAAGCACATCACACTTTCACAGTGTAGGTTAAAGTTGCGTGATACTTTAGAACAGCTGTGGCTGAGTACTGCGATCAAGGGAGCTTGTATCCTGACAAAGTATAACTAATTTCGTGCTTTGAGCTCTTTCAGTCTTTAGCTCTCTTCAGGGATAAACTTTTCCTCTGGTTAGAAATATTTTTTATTAAGAAGAAAAGAATACTTTTCAACCAGACATTAAAGTTTTTTTTTTATTATTCTTCCTCCTCTCCTAACAGTTTCACAGACGAGATCTACACATAAAGGCACCTTTGCCCTCTAGTGGTGTTTGCCTTCCTTAAAACTGTCTTGCACAAAGGAAACAACTTCACATATTAATACATAATTAGACAGCTTATAATTCATAGATTTAAATACCATAACAGGAAAAGGAAATTGTTCCAAGAACGGAGAATGCCAAAAGTAGCTTCAAAATAAACATCTCTGTTTGGAAGTGTTTTTTTCTTTTCTTTTTCTTTTTGGTCTGACATTTGTTCCATCCCCCTCCTCCGTTTCAGAAAAACATGGCCTCTTAAAACTTGGAGAATACTACAGAAGCAGTAAAAGTGACATGGTTCTAAATGATAACATCCGAAATAAATGCAAGAAAGACGAGCCAGTCTTCCATTCTGCTGTCAGTGCTGGTCTTCAAAAAAGAGGGGGAAGGAGAGAGAGGGAGAGAGAGAGAGAGAGAGAGAGAGATACACGCAGAACTAGAGCAAACCAAAGGGAAGACCAGGTATAAGCAGTCGTTCTGCTCTTTAAGTCAGTGTCCAGCACTACTTTATTCTAGATTAGACAAGAGGAGAGGTCAGAGGGTCTCTATGTTCTGTTTGGTTTCCATGTCACAAATTAAAGCTATTGTCCTTGCTTCTTTGAAAGGTACCTAAAGAAAAAGCCAAATATTCAATATTTATAATATGATTGGACATTTGAGGAAACTGCATTAACATGTAGTACATAGTCAAGAATACTGTGCTGTTACAACCTGTAGAATTATTACCATGATGGTCAGAGTCCAAGTAAATATCCTCCCTGAAGCAGGACTACAAGAGATTATGGATTTGGTAGTGTTTCTTTGTAGAGGATTCCATACAGAGCCTAACAGGCAGAGACTACCCATAATCCCTCGCAATTCCCACAGACCTTAATCCCTGGCCAACCCATTTCCCTTGTCTTCTGCACAGGACGACAATGGTCATCTGAGAAATTTCAAGAGAAATGTAGACAACCACCTGGCAGATATCCTTTGATTTCCTGCACTGAACAGAGGGTTGGACCCAATGGCCTTATAGGCCCCTTCCACCTTCATCATTCTATAATTCTATGGTTGCTGGAATCTGAATTCATTAGTCTTGAAAACACCTTTGTTTTCTTGATTAAAGTCTTCAGAAGTCAGGTGGAGAAATTCCTGCACACTGTTGGAGGTGTAGTCCACAAATTCACATAGTACTGTGTGGTTTAGTACTCAATGACTCAGAATTCCATCAAGGGCATACTTAGTGGCTATTCACTGACCCATGTTACACCATTTCACTTACGATGGTGTAAATTTTCAATTGGATGGATAATTATATTCCAGAAATCTATGTAGTGGTAAAAAAAACAACAACAACAGAATCCTAGGTATCTAGAATGGCCTTTCTGAGTTTTCGGAGAGGGGGCTAAAACTCCTAGCAGCCCTACACATTACACATGCTACAGCCAATGTCGAGGGAGTTGTAGCCTATATATACGTCTAGAATTACCTACTTGTGTCTTAGAGACTGACATACTGATTATACAGTAAGATGATCTGGGCAAGACAATGCAAGACAGTGACACTTTTGCTGAAACAAATACTGAAATGCGCACACTGTTACTTTCCGTTTTCTGTAAGCCTTAGAAAAATAGAAGCAGCTTTGATTTAGAAGGATCTTTTAAAAAAAAAAAAACTACATACACAAAACCTGATGTCCCATAAATTGTTGGCTGAGCCTCATTAAAAACCTATATCACCGAAAAAGAGTTCTCCATGATTCCATAGGCTTTGAGTGGATAGCACAACTTAATGTTGTAGCAGGGGAAGCAAACTTTGAAATTACCATTTTCATTCAATTTAAGATCCAACCAGTACAATCACACCAAGTATGTAAAGATGGATTTCAGCAACCTGGTATCTGAGATCTCAAAACACTACAGATGGGCACCATCCTCTGACCAAAGTACAAAAATTGGCCGAATCAGAGGTACCCCTGTAATTACAGGGCAACTACAGGATGCATTGAAGAATTTCTGGTCACACTTGGTGCAAACTGTTACACCTACAGTGTTGATACATTTGAAAAGCATCACAGCTATTTGAATGGAGGAAAAAGGAATGGAAAGCATACACAGTGCCAACAGACAGAGCTGCTGGTGCCAAAGGAAAATGTGAGTGACAAGTGAAGCCCAGGAAGTCCCCTGAACATTGTGCTGGGCTGCTGGACAAAATAAGGGAGTTCCATCACTCTCCAGATGTCAGTTTCCTAAACTCTACTTTTTAGTATTTAACTGTTAGAACTGAGTGTGTATGACTTGTGGAAGAATACAGAGCAAATTTGTATAGAAGAGCTTTGTACAGGCATACAATGGATAAATCTGCTGACCTTTATGTCACAACAATGTTGAGTTTTGATGATCTCACAACAATGAGGGCTTCAGGGTCCATTCAAATCCTCCCTTTTTGTGAAGGCTTTCACGGCCGGGATCTAATGGTTGTTGTGGGTTTTTTGGGCTCTTTGGCCGTGTTCTGAAGGTTGTTCTTTCTAACGTTTCACCAGTCTCTGTGGCCAGCATCTTCAGAGGACAGCACTCTGGCCACAGAGACTGGTGAAACATTAGGAAGAACAGCCTTCAGAACACGGCCAAAGAGCCCGAAAACCCCACAACAATCTCCCTTTTTGCTTCTTTTTTTACTTATTGCTGCAGTGAGTAGTGCAAATACCACTGCCAGCTGACCCTTATTTCACAGGATCTCTATGAAGCCAGCTCTCCTCTGTGGAGTAGCTTGTTTAATGTAATGGACCTATCAATCTTTTTGTCTTCTCCTTTTTTCAATTGTTGTTACGGTATGGTAGTACAAACAGAGGGAGGAAAGGAGCTCCCTGCAACTAAGGAGAGAAGTGAGTAACTCTAGAGGCCACATCTATATAGGATCCAGGACAGGAAGGAGCTGGACAGTAAGGGTACAAGTAAATCTCAAGTACCAAATTTAGATTGCCACACCATGTATATTGCTTGCAGTTAGTAGAATTCTGAGAACTGCAGGCATCTCCAACCCAAATCTGAAAAAAAATCACATACACTGCTGAGGACATCAGAAGCCATCAAGAACATTGTGGTTACTCCTTTTATCAGCTGTGATATTAGCTGATGTCATTTGTTCTTGATTTAATGATTTTCATTGTTTGATTTCTTTTTTGTTACTTGATTTTATTGCTTGTTAGCCACACAGAAGAGTGCTATGCACTAATAGGGTGGTAGACAAATGTATGAAATAAAGAAATATAAATGTATGAAATTACATGATATGGCAAAGCCCTGGTAACAGGCACAATGGTTACACCAATTGTTTTGGTTATTTCATTGTACAGTATTATGGCTTCAGCCCTAGTGTATTCAGGAATTCAGAACAACCACTCTGTGTTCACCTCCTAAAACTCCCTGTATTGAGTGGAAAAGTACGAATAAAAGCCATTTCAGAAAATTTCACACATTTATATTTCTTCATTTCATATATTTACATATCACCCTATTAGTACATAGCACTGTTCTGGGTGGTAGTGCTTGAACTCTGTTCAAGAGTTCATGTGTATATGTTTGTCTGTACACAGTTAAAACACTTCCTGGGGATTGGAAAGCCCTGTTCCAGGAAGGGCTGTAACGATATACAGCCAGAGCAAAAACTGGGAAAGACACTTTTAAAATGACAGTTTTCGGAATCTCCCAGTCAACTTGCCTGAATGCCTAGGGATTCTGAGATTTTTAGTCCAGAACTAATGTTTCCAAGCTCAATCATTTTCCAGACTTCACTGCTTAATACAAGGCTAGAAGTGAGTGGGCAAAATTAGCATGCATGGCTAGCTGTGTGTCCATGAATGAAACTCCCATTCGCCTGAATATAGGACAACTGTCCTTTCTGCTTCCCTAAACATCTGTTATCTAGAAAAGCAAAATGTCAAATAAACTGAGCTGCCACTTTAAGAATATATTCTAACATTGTCAATGAAGGCCAGAGACTGCAGTTCTCGTAACAATTGCTACAGGAAATGCATGTCTCTTGACCTCTGGTTAACGTTCATAACCATTTTGTTCAGGCTTAGAGGCAGGGCCATTTGACCCAGCTGTGATACAGCATCAGGCAATAACAGCATTTCAGTCCTTACCTTTCCCAATGTTTGTGGTTCAGCTCCAAAAAGTTATCTAATTTTGCTATTTCCTTGAGATACTGAGTAAGTTTTAAAAGCTCTTTATCTTTATCTCTGTTTAAATGTGCTTTCATGAAGGGTTTTATCTGTGGAGGAAAAAAAACAGGTGCAAATGACACTTTAAAAAAGACCGATTGAACCTAACATGTTAGCATTCATTAAAAAGATTAGGCTACCTGATTCTGTAGCACAGGTTTCTCTGGCTATTGCTCCTTCCTAAGTCCTGGCAACTTGCACCCTTCTCTTCTAGCAGATGCCTACACAGACATTTAACAACTCCTACAGATTCTGTGCAAGGATGTGTTTTAGGGGTTGAGGGTTTTTTTTAAATCATTCTTCTGTATGCTCTCCATATCCACTTTGCAGCTCAATAGATCAAGCTGTTGGACCATAAATAAATAATATTTTTACAAGTGACAGAGCCACTTCCAACAACATCCACAGCTCAAGGGCAACAAGCAACCCCTCACATTTTTTTACAAGATTCTTTCTGTTCAAATTAGTAAATTCTTTGTTTGCTTTGAAAAGTTTGTCAGGCCTCTCTTGCGATGGGAGCTCAGAACATTGGCACTCTGCACTGAGAAACTACATTATTGCCTCTGTATCTAATAGACCATGTGTGTGTGTGTGTGTGTGTGTGTGTGTGTGTGTGTGTGTGTGTGTGTATATATATAAAATTTTCTCTTTGCCTTGTTTAAAGGGGCGGACCATAGGCAAATCCACTGCCATGGATTTGGCTATCAGCAGTTTTCCAACAGGCCCTTTAAGGTGAGGCAAAGAAAGGACTTTAGCATAGCAAGTCACAACTAGAGTAGGCCCATTTGAATCAATGGAAATCATGCAGAAGTTGATTCAATGGGTTTACTCAAATGCAATTTGCTATGCTAGGCCACTGGTTCTTAACCTTGGGTTACTCAGGAGTTTTGGACTGCAACTCCCAGAGGCCTTCACCACCAACTGTGCTAGCTGGGGTTTCTGGGAGTTGCAGTTCAAAAACATCCAAGTAACAAAGGTTAAGAACCACTGTGCTAGGCAATAATTTTGGCTAATAACAAAGACAGCATATGCAAATCTAGAGGGCAAAGACTTTTCAATCAGCAATAAGTTGCATCCTCTGATCTGTTTTAAATAATTTTTTGTTTGTTGTTTCTTTTGGTTATACTGTATACTTCTATTGCTTTAAACTGTTTATCATAGTGGCGGTCCTGTTATCCTCCACATGTATGAGGGCAACACAACTGGAACTTTCCTCTCAACCACTGGTAATCAAATGCAATTAGATAGTGACTGTATAAGCAAAGCAAAGCAAAGTGTGCTGCTTATATACTGCCCCATAGTGCTTCAAGCACTCTCTGGGCGGTTTACAAGTTAATTATGCAGGCTACACATTCCCCCCTCCCCCAGCGAACTGGGACTCATTTTACCGACCTCGGAAGGATAGAAGGCTGAGTCAACCTTGAGCCAGCTACCTGAGATTGAACCCTGGGTCATGAGCACAGTTTTGGCTGCAGTACAGCAATTTAACCACTGCACCACAAGTGGTATAGGATTCAAGATTTTGCATAAGACAACTCACTGTTTATAACCAACCCTATACTGTCTGCTGAGACTGTCAGGGCATCTGAAGAAACCAAGCAATGGTCTGCCACAACACTGCCACTTGAGACCCCCTCATCATCACGGTATCTCCCCTGCCAAGCACCGTATTTTTTTGCTCCATAAGACGCACCTCTCCATAAGACACACCAAATTTTTAGGAGAAGAAAACAGTTAATAACTGTTTTCTTCTCCTAAAAATTTGGTGAGCCTTATGGAGAGGTCCGTCTTATGGAACACACCCTAGGACCCTTTGGAGGCTCACCCTGCCCCCCCCGGGAGCCAGAGGGGGCAAAATCACCACCTTCTCGGACTCTTCTGAAGCTTCCCAAGCCTCAAGAGTCCCAGAAGGTGGCGATTTTGCCCACGCTGGCCCCGTGCGGGGGTGGGGGGAGCATCACAGGTGTCCTCGAAAGCTCACTCGGACCCTTGCAACACTCCCCCCACCCTCCCACGGGGCCAGCATGGGCGAAATCGCCAGCTTCCAAGACCTTTTGTGAGGCTTGAAAGGCTCAGAAAAGGTCCTGGAAGCTGACGATTTCACACCTGCTGGCCCCATGGGGGCGGGATTCATACAATGCATAATTGTGTAGTTTTATTTACCTGGTAAGCCTCAGAAAAGGTCCTAGAAGCCGGCGATTTTGCCCCCGCTGGCCCCGTGGGGGGGGGGTGGGAGCCTTGCAAGGGTCCTGGAAGGCTCACACGGACCCTTGCGAGGCTCCCCCCAAAGGGCCAGTGGGGTGAAATCGCCAGCTTCGCTCCATAAGACACACAAACTTCCCACACACAAACTTTTTTTGGGGTGGAAGTGCATCTTATGGAGCAAAAAATACGGTATTTGAGACCCAGTGGGATTTAAGTTGAATGAGTAAGGACCTGGGTCTCTTTCTTTTCAGAGCATGTACTCTGCTGGTACTCTTTGGTATTACAGCCTTTTGTTTTATCCCACATTGCTGTTGGCCTGCGGATTCAGCTACTCCTTTCAAGAGGATACAAAATGACCCATGTGTGCTTAATTCTTAGGGGAAAAAACACGTGTAAGTAGGATGACCACTACATCGCTGTTGTAGCAATATGCAGTAGTGACCATGTCCTTCTGAGAGGCTTATGAAATTTATCCCAACACACTGCTTGTCACATTTATCAAAGGGTTCCAGACAATAAGTTAATCCCTCATGGAATTGTTGATTAAAGTCTGTTGCCTGTGGTAGAAGATCTGATCTTGATTCCTTCTATAGCAACATTTCTCATAAACAGTCACCTCCAATTTGTTTTGCTGTCAGTAAAGCCTGAGCTTCAGCAGCACGCTGGCTCTTGTTTTCCCAAGAGAAGGCAATGATACCATTCTGTCAGCATCACACTCTGTCAAGTCTCCATCCAGTTGAGCAGTACTTTTAAAGCAATTTGCACTTGCCTCTTACCATTTCTCAAAAAGGAGGGAGATTTCACAGGGACAAGAACTAGCATCATGAGAGTCAAGACATCTTTTCTAGGACCAACACTTCCCAAAAGCCCTGACATATTTGGGAAGCAGGGAATACAGGGACAGAAAGATATTAACATATGACTTTGACAGCCACTTCAAAACTCGATACAGTACATTAATTTCACTCAGATCAAATTTTCCCCCATCTGACCAAGGTATTTCTCAAGCCCCTGAAAAAGTCTTTCTCACTGGCTTTTTATTACAGCAAAGGCACCCTAAGCCATCTTTTAACTGATCACTAATGTCACAAACAGGAAAACGATTTCCATTGAAGACAATTTTTGCTGAGCACAATGGGCATAAATATAGTAGCTGTTGTAGTAGATAAGACTACAACCTTATGGCTAATTGCCTGAGAATAAATTCCACCCAATGCAACATAACATACTTCTGGGTAGACAAGTAAAATTCTTTGGACACTATGCATGAAATAAATTCCAACTATCATCTCTTCATTTCAGAATGCTGTTTTAATGTATTATTCTACTAAACGATGAACTGGCCCTCTATAGCAAGATATTTGCAGCTCCTTCAAACACTGTCACATCAAAAACTTTGTAAGCAACCACAGATCTTGACAAAACCAACTGCAAAGATGGAGGAAGGAGACACATAGACAGTGGTGTGATTGTCCAAGTTGCATAACTTACAATCCTATACCAATAGTGCAGACAGGATGACAGATGTGTCCAATGAGTGAAATATAAGTGAGTAAAACCCCTTATCTTTGACATAACTTTCCAGATGTGAACCTATTTGAACATCATCCTTTACACAGACAGCATTTTCGCAAGAACTTTAGAGATTACCTTTAGTCCATTTTGGGGGTTCATCAGAAAATTCCGTCCAATGTCATCAAACATAATAGTATTTTTCTTGTTGTAGTATTCTGAAAATTTGCCCCATATGACCCCAAGAGGTTTCACCTATGAAAGCAAAGCCAGTAGAAATGATGATGTGAAATAGTATCTCAACACCAGAGTCAATTATTTATTTTCTAATGTTGCCATATAAAGTTATTTACTATCTTTCTTCTCCACACCTTAAAAAAAATCAATGTTTGGAAAAGAAAATGTTTGTAACAGTATCAATTGGGAATAAACTCCACTTAATTCAGTGAAGCTAAATACTGATCCAGCAGGCAGGATTGCACAGGAATATTTCCATTTTGTAAATAAGGAATGATGGCCTGAAAATGGGGGATCTAAGGAAGACCTGGGATAAATGTAGGTTTTCCACTACCTCTGAGGGAGATGCTTTGCTGCAAGTGATAACTTCAGTTTCTTTTAATAAAAATATTGTGTCACACATTCAGAAGAAAAGTACAAAAGTGTTAAAATCATTTTAATTTTCATGAAATGAAAGAAAGTGAGTTCAAAAATATTCAAGTTAAACTAGCGTTGCTCTACTTTTTGCTCTATAGCAGCCCTTCTCAACCTTTTTTTTATCACAGCAATAAACACAATATGAAAGAAATATAGACTGAATCAGGATTGTATATGTTGCATAACAAACCTTCTAAGCTGGGTATGAATACTTATTTCCAGTCTGCAGCCCCCTTCAAATGTGCCAGGACCTCTGGGGGCAGCATATGGCTCCCACTGAGAATGGCTGCTATACATTAAAGAACATTTTAGATACATCTGTGGAAGGACTATCTCTAATGCTTCCCTAAAGTAGGCTTAGTTTCTCAAATGCAGTTCACCATCATCACCAAGATCAAATCTATGTAAACTCCTCAGCATGCAGTTTACTATGGTTCATATAGTAAGATTCCTGAAGAACAGATCTGAGCAAATATACCAAGCTGCATGTGAGAAAAGAATCTGATTTCTTAAGTTCCCTAGAGATTCATTTGGTTACTCAAGTTGTCTGGATACACTTTCTTAGTCACTCTTGATCTGGGCAACTTCAGAAGACTCAAGTAAGGAAACCAAGCTACATTTCTATTATTGCACATGGCTTAGCACACTAATTCAAGTCATCTAGAACTGTTGTAACTCAGGCATCATGCCAAGATTAAACTGTTACTTTGGAGACTTTTTTCCACAGTACAGTACTTGTTCACAGCTTGTTTAAGGTCTAAACAGCTTACACTAATCTTTTAAGGAAGGATTCTGAGGAGCAAAGATTTCTGCTTCAGAGGAAGATGCTGCAATAGATAGCCATTGACATTAGAATTCTGCATTTTTAGAAAAGTGTATGTTATTCTTCTAAACCTAAAGAAAACAATCCCATATAGAGGGGGGGAAATGTCCCTACATCAATTAATCCTCGTCTTGGAGTATGCACAGTTATCATGGCAGCACTGTCCAACATAAAGGTGATCTTGTAGTTTGCATTGGTGCTCACTCCCAGCTCCTGCAATACAAAACAACAGCAACAAAACGTGATGACATGTTGCACACTGGGTACTCCACCACTGCAACTTCTGAAGCCTAAACTTGTTAAGTGACAACACTAAAGGACAAAAACAGGACATGCTAAAAATAGACATCTACTCTACTCTCCAAGGAGATTTATTACGATGGGGTGAAAGCTATATTACAACTTGCTATGACTCAATGCAATCTTAGAGCATAAAAATAGTTGCTTTGTGTAAAAGGCAGGTTTGGATCTGTCTTGTTCTTCTGAAATAGCAAGAAAAAACAAGATAGCATTCTTACCCATGAAAGCTGTTGAACTATCTGCCTTTGCTAAGCTATTCTGGTCAAAAGAAAGAACTGCCATTTTTAATTTTTAATTTCACTTTCCATTTCACTTCCCATTACACTCAGCCTCAGAAGCAGTAGTAAAATAGATAGGTTGTCCGAGAAAATGACATTCAAGAATTCAAAGGGGTTGCTATTTAAAAATATACAGGCTTTGTGGGACATGAAGCTACTTCTAGAAACTAAATCTCCGAAGGAAAACAAGTTATTTGGGGCTAGAAAAAAATATTGTCTGCAGCTGTACAGCTTAGTATTGTTTCAGTTTTTGAAAAATGCTTCCAAAAGTAAAGTGTGTTCAGATCATGGGGGTTGGATATTGGTATGGAAGGAGCACATTTTGGGCTCAGCGGCATGTTGCACAGGGAACCAAACTGGGCTTTTTACATTCAAAAGCTCATAGCCATCCACAGTATTTCAGACCTGATAAACTTACCAACTTAATTGATAAAATCCCAGTGCTGTGGCAACTTTGTTTTAAAAAATCGTATTAGTTCTTGAGCTTCCTACACCTACATTACAGTGTATGGAATCCTGCTGCACAGCTCTAACTATACAATGGGGAATGGCATCAATAGCAGCAGCAGGTTGATGCTGATTAAATGCTTTTTTTTTTTTTTTGAAATCCTGCTGCACAGCTCTAACTATACAGTGGGGAATGGCATCAATAGCAGCAGCAGATTGTTGCTGATTAAATGCTTAATTTTTTTTTGGAGCTAGTAGGGCTTGTATACAAAGTCATGTGCACCCTGAAATCACAAAAGGAAACGTTCAGTCCAAGGCAATCTGCTGCTACCAATGAAGTCATCCCTATTGAGTGGATGGACCATGCCCAACAGGATTTTGGCCTATACCAAACATCATCTTGAACTATCATATGCAAGTGCTTGATTCAATGTAAAGCAACGTCCTATGTTCTTAGCAGGAGTGCAAATTTTCATACATCATATTTGCTAAGACAAGAACCATCACACACATTATTTGCCAGTTGGGGAGCACATGAGGAGCAGCAGAGGAGAGATAAGATCGCATCGCTCGAAACTTCATCTTGAACTGTCATATGCAAGTGCTCTGATTCAATGTAAAGCAACTTCCTATGTTCTTAGCAGGAGTGTAAATTTTCATACATCATATCCGCTAAGACAAGAACCATCACACACATTATTTGCCAGTTGGAGAGCACATGAGGAGCAGCAGAGGAGAGATAAGATCTCTTCCTCTTTCTTCTATTGCATTCCACTGTTCTATCAGTGCAGGTCCACAGTGGGAAACTGCCCTTGAAAACCATGTGCCTATTACATTAATTCACTGGCTGAAGTCCTATTGCTTAGCATAATAAGTCACACTAGAGTAAACCCACTGAATCAGTGGAGATTTGGTGAGTGTACTCCTCCACAGGTTCCACTGATTCAAAAGGAATCTAGTTGCAACTTACTATGCTAAACAATAGAATTTCAGCCACTGAATATACCACATGTGGCAGGCAATTAACATGAACTGGAGAGAGGAGCAGAGCAGAGGGAAGCAAATACACTAGAGTAAACCCACTGAATCAATAGAGATTTGGTGAGTGTACTCCTCCATAGGTCCACTGATTCAAAAGGAATCTAGTTGCAACTTACTATGCTAAACAATAGAATTTCAGCCACTGAATATACCACATGTGGCAGGCAATTAACATGAACTGGAGAGAGGGGCAGAGCAGAGGGAAGCAAATTTCCTCTTCACTCCTGCTCCACACCCAGCTATAGATGGACCCTTTGGGAAAAATTGCCACAGAAATGCTGCAAAGAGTCTGGTGGGAAAGGATACAGGGCTGTGTTTTTATGGTTCTCAGTTTGGCAGTTACCTAGCAGCTGAAGATCTCTTTGAAACAAGAGATGTAGCAAGATGAAACAAGAGACTTTGCCAGGCACATTCTTTCAAAATACAGGTCCCCATGATGTCATAGGCAAATTTGCTCTTCACATCATCATTAAACTAAATGCCCTACGTGAATGGTGGAACAGTTTTCTCAAGACAAATCAGGGAGTTGTTCCGACTGACTGGGACGTCTGAGTTGTCTCTGTGAATGAAAGGGCCTGTTGTGTTCACAGAAAGGGCACTGATCCAACAAAGGGAGGAGTCTTTCACCCAGTACTCTTCTTTCTCTCCACAGTCCTCAGTGATCTGAAGTTCCCCCAACTCGGTTTTTAAGCGGTGAGTGGGGCTTCTGGGGCATCATCAGAAACACCCTCTTACTTTCACAGTTCCATCAGTAGGAGCACCCCAAGAGCAAAGGTCCCCTCGTGTGAATTTAAGATCCAAGCCAAATGTGATGATGCCACCTTAGCACTTGCCACAGAATTCTGCATTACAGTTAAAAGACCCTTCACACTTTTTGGGTACAGAGCATTCAAAGAAAAGTCTAGCAAACCAATCTCATAGACAAGCCAAAACACATATTCATTGAACTTACTTTCATTTTAGCTTCAATCCACTTCATATTAGTAGCAGCTGAAAAGGAGGGGAAAGGAATTTTGAAGCGTATAAGCACAGATGAATAGACATGCTGTTATTAAAACATATTTTCCTATCACATAATCATTTCCTAAATATGAGTTACATGTTATTCACGGACTACATAATCCAATCTTTTTAAGATACAGCAATGCCCCTATAACCTGTAATGGTTTTTAGTTCTGCTCAACTCACTCCTTATTCATGGCAAGCAGGTCATCTAATCTGTTCAAGCAGACTGATTGTGTGAACTGAGTCACTTGCCAATCCCACACGACCCTGTATCAGAGGAGTTTTTTTAAAAAAAAAAAACACCATGAATTACTCTAAATTTGTTGAAATAGAATGCACGTGGCATTTTATTTACTAATGAGAAACAAATTAAAATATCTATGTGCAGCACAGTAATACTCTGCTTAACCATTTGGTTTGACAAAAGTAGGATCAATGGGAAAGACTAGAGCTAATTCTGTAAAACAAGAACACAAAACAAATTGCATCTTAATAAACTGGTGCAGTAACTCCTATACAGTGGCTAAAGTCTAGTGGGAAGTCACAACTAAAGTAGGCCCATCAGATCAGTGGAGAATCTGGTGAGTCAACTCCTCCATTAAGTTTCATTGCTCCAGTGGATCTAGTCGAGGCTTACTGCTAGATTTCAGCCAGCATTTTGCATCTCACAGCCTAGACCCGCAGAACCATGCACATAATTGCACATACTCCAAAGTCAAATTTGCATTATTCTGTTCATCTACACACGCCCCCGCATTCCCACAATGCAATATAACAAATCTTGTCTGAAATTAAATTATTGGAAGTTTTGTAAACAGTCTCTGAGAAAACATGGGGATCCACCATTTAGAGGGAAATGGCTAAAGAGTCCACTAAGCATCCCCAAGGGCTACTTGGCTTACAGTACCCCTTTAAATTGCAGCACACATTAACTGCCAGAAAAGGTTCATGAGCAACTTTCCCCAGAGAATACTGTGCTATATCACAGTTGTTATGGTGGATGTTTGCATGTGCACAGGGATTTTGTGCTTACTATTCTACACACATTAAAGCTTCCATTTAATCACCTCTTACGACTGCCAAATGAGATCAGACAGCTGACTTGAGGAATGTAACAGAGGAGAAAAGATGAGCATCAAGAGCCATGGAATCTGATGACATCTCTAAAGGGGATGTCTGTGTTGTAAATAACAATAGCAGTGACATCAGAAGAATTGTGGTATGCAAGGTAAACAACTTACACCAAATAACTATGTCATAATCTTCATAAGCAGATGTCAGGAACTCATGAAGGTATGGCCTCATCAGCTCAACCCCAGTTTCTGCACATGACCTGTGGTCTGAGAAGAAATTCAGCCTATTTCAGTGGTTCAGCATTTTCTTCTAATTTGTGCTCTGTTACAGACCTACCCCCCCCCAAACCCAAAGGAATATGTATAGAACACCCAAAAATGGACTGCCTGGAGCATTTTCAGTAAGGCTAAAACTTCACAAATCAACTGTTTGGTAAAGAAAGGAAAGCACAATGGCTGAATCTGGCCCACCCCTGCTCTCTAAGAGGCAAGAATTTTAATCTTTTCAAGCTCTTTGACAAGATCCAGGTGTGCCTACAGGTTGGACCAAAAAAAGAGAATTGTGCATATAGAAGATATTTGACCAAAGGTTTCCCCAGCACAGTTTAAATGAAAATATGATCTCAGACAAGTGAAAAGTTTCTTCACCTGAGCAATAATGTCAGATGACATGAAAAATAAATGATCCCATTCATGGTCGAAAGCAACAAGAACTCTGTCCCTTCTGTATATCATTTTTCCAGCTTGCTACTATGAGTGTTCTTATCCCATCCTGCCTCTTCACGTTCTTCCTCTATGTATTAGTGTCAGCACACAATTTGTAGTTAGCCTACTAATTAATTAAGCAGCTACACTTTTTCATTACAAATGGAACAGGGGACTATAATTTAATTACAGTTTATTAACCATAATCTTGAACATGAAGACTGGACAGAGCCAATGATTTCAGGCTCCCATACATGTTAACAGAAGTTTGAATCAAGATTTCTCTATGTAGCTGGTCCAAATATTCAGAATCTCCCGAGGTTTTTGCCAAAAATCAGGTTTTTCTACATACGTTGGTCCTCACAGTAACCTCGTAAGTATAAGGAAATATATATCCTAAAAACACATACTGAGTCTATCTAGCAGGGATTCAGTAAAAATGGATGAATAATAGTCATTGGTAATGAAAAATATTAAGAGACCAAGATTTCTTGTACAACAGACACTAGTTCATCAAATGCATCCACAAAAGCATATTGTGCAATACATACAGTATATCACATGAGTGTGTATCCTCTCACATTTCCAGCCGCCAGAAGCCCCAAAATGGCCACACGCAGCGTTTTCGCACCCTCGTTAAGCGAGGGGAGGGCGCGAAAATGGCTGCCAGCCATTGCAAAACATCGCTGAACGGTGAGTAAATCAGCCAACTGGAGCTTCGTTTAATGCGTTCCAATGGGCTTTTCTGCCCCATTCAGCGATGTTTTCACACAGCGAGGGTTAATCCGGAACGGATTAACCTCGCTGTGCGAGGCACCACTGTATATCCTAAAAACACATACTGAGCCTATCTAGCAGGGATTCAGTAAAAACGGATAAATAATAGTCATTGGTAATAAAAAATATTAAGAGACCAAGATTTCTTGTACAACAGACACTAGTTCATCAAATGCATCCACAAAAGCATATTGCACAATACATACAGTATATCACATGAGTGTGTATCCCCTCACATTTCATAAATATTTTAGTATATCTTTTCATGTGACAACACTGAACGAATGACACTTGGCTACAATGTAAAGCAGCGAGTCCACAGCTTGTATAACAGTGTAAATGTGCTATCCCCTCAAAATAATGCAACACACAGCCATAAATGTCTAAACCGCTAGCAACAAAAGTGAGTACACCCCTAGGTGACAATGTCCAAATTGGACCCAAGTAGCCGTTCTCCCTCCTTGGTATCATGAGTCCCTTTAGTGTCAAAAGTCTCAGGTGTGAAGGGGGAACAGGTATTATTGCTCTCTCTCTCTCAGACTAAAAACACATACTGAGCCTATCTAGCAGGGATTCAGTAAAAACGGATAAATAATAGTCATTGGTAATAAAAAATATTAAGAGACCAAGATTTCTTGTACAACAGACACTAGTTCATCAAATGCATCCACAAAAGCATATTGCACAATACATACAGTATATCACATGAGTGTGTATCCCCTCACATTTCATAAATATTTTAGTATATCTTTTCATGTGACAACACTGAACGAATGACACTTGGCTACAATGTAAAGCAGCGAGTACACAGCTTGTATAACAGTGTAAATGTGCTATCCCCTCAAAATAATGCAACACACAGCCATAAATGTCTAAACCGCTAGCAACAAAAGTGAGTACACCCCTAGGTGACAATGTCCAAATTGGACCCAAGTAGCCGTTCTCCCTCCTTGGTATCATGAGTCCCTTTAGTGTCAAAAGTCTCAGGTGTGAAGGGGGAACAGGTATTATTGCTCTCTCTCTCTCAGACTGGTCACTGGAAGTTCCACATTGCACCTCATGGTAATGAACTATCTGAGGATCTGAAAAAACCCATGTCCTGTGGTCTGATGAGACCAAAATAAACTTATTCGGTTCAGATGATGTCAAGCACATGTGGCAGCAACCAGGTGAGGAGTACAAAGACAAGTGTGTTGTGCCTACAGTCAAGCATGGTAGTGGGAGTGTCATGAGTGCTGCCGGTATTGGGGAGCTACAGTTCATTGAGTAAACCATGAATGGCAACATGTACTGTGACATACTGAAGCAGAGCATGATCTTTGGAGACTGGGCAGCAGGGCTGCATCCCAACATTATAATGACCCCAAACACACCTCCAAAATGACCACTGCCTTGCTAAAAAAGTTGAGGGTAAAGGTGATGGCCTGGCTGAGCATGTCTCCAGACCTAAACCATATTGAGCATCTGTGGGGTATCCTGAAACAGAACGTGGAGGTGTGCAAGGTCTCTAACATCCACCAGCTCTGTGATGTCATCATGGAGGAATGGAAGAGGACTCCAGAGGGAACTTATGAAGCTCTGGTAAACTCTATGCCCAAGAGGGTTAAGGCAGTGCTGGAAAATAATGGTGGCCACACAAAATATTGACACTTTGTGGCCAGTTTGGACATTGCCACTTAGGAGTGTACTCACTTTTGTTGCCAGCAGCTGTGTGTTGCGTTATTTTGAGGGGACAGCACATTTGTACTGTTATACAAGCTATATACTCACTTATAGCCAAGTGTCATTTCTCCAGTGTTGTCGCATGAAGTTATACTAAAATATTTATGAAATGTGAGAGGGTGTACTCACTTCTGTAATATACTGTACATACATCCTCAAGATGCTGCAAGTTTTGTTATTGCAATGGAGAGGGTAACTATTCCTTTTGGTTGTTAATTGATTTGCTTTGACATTTTTTCTTTTTCAAATACTATATTAGAAGCTACTTTATAAGGATAAGAATAAACAGAGAAAGATAGAAATAAATTAATCAAACAAATAAGCTGGTTATAAAACTAAACTGAGTACAGAACAAAACTGAACCTAAGATACATCACTTACCAAATAGTGTGTAATCAACATCCAGAACCAACAATTTCTTCCCTTCTCGTGGCGGATTCAATATTTCCACTTTGTACTCCTTAACTCTACGGGATATTTTTAGTAGATTTTCTTCCCTAAATATAAATAACATGAACAATATGTGGTTGCTATACCTTTATTTTATTATATAGAAATCATTCAGTTATTTCTCCACACAGTAACAATTCACCTGTTCTCTACTTCAACAACTTCCTCTTCAATATCAAAATCATTAACAACATCTTCATTATCAGGAGGTGGCCCAAGGACATCTTCCTGTATTAAAGGTAATTAAAAGGAAGGGAACAATTAGAGGGTTTTCTCCTCAAAAATGTGTTGCACAAAAGCCAGAAATGGACACATTTGAAAAGAATATTGGCTTATTGTGAATGTGCTTCATGCTAGCATATACATCCTGTTCACACCTGTCTGGCTCTTTCTGCTAGCAAGACTGGCTAAACAAACCAAAATATTTTGCTTCACATGTCATCAGACCCTAGGATGTTGGTTTGTAGTTCCCAAAAAAAGCCAGGATTTGTAAACCAAGTACAAACCCTGTTTTATAACCCTGGCTTGTAAAAAACACAAAAGGCTAGGTCCCAGGTTCCAATGACACCTAAATGGAACATTTTTTGTTCGTTTGTTCATCTGTTCTTCTAAGTAGGAGTAGAGAAGAGGACTGACTCTCTGGGTTCATAGTAAGACATGATGAACCAGAATCCTAACTTGCTATTATGGGTGTATTTATTTATTTAATTATTTACAAGACCTTTTTAGCCGCACCATTACCAGTGGTCTCTGAGCGGCATACAACAATATTAAAACTTTAGAAAAACATTAATACCATTAAAAATACCCAATATTATAATAATACCCTATATTAAAAGTCAATTTATCATTAATAATTCCTGCTGCTAACGCTGGCTAAACAGAAAGGTCTTTTGCCTGGCGCTGAAAAGCCAAAAGTGTTGGAGCCATGCAGATCTCTATAGAGAGGGTGTTCCAAAGTTGGGGGGCATGCCATCCCCCTCACTTCTTTCAGGGATGGCACCTTTAGAAGGGCCTCATTTAGGCAATGATTCATCATTCCCTGCCCCAAATCTACATTTTTGCTAGATGTTTGCACCTTCAGAAATATGAGCCATACTTTATACTGAGCCAAAATATAGTTTGGGTTCTGTTCAAGAAGACAATATAAACTGAATTAAAGTTGGTATCGATAATAAAAAAAGAACAAAGTCATATAGCCAGATGAACTGGAAAGTGAAAGCAGCCATAGAGGAAAACATAGGACATTTTCTACACATTTTAACTGTATTGAAAAAAATGTTGTTACAGCCAGAGAGAAAAAAAAGGAAAATATTTCTGAAGTTCTCTAAGCCAGTGGTCCCCAACCTTGGGCCTCCAGATGTTCTTCGACTACAACTCCCAGAAGCCTTCACCACAACCTCTGCTG